CCCCCTCCCTTTCTATTCAAGTTAGATCTTTTACGAGGTGGGCTTCGACTAGGGTTGAAAGGAATACATGGCTCCAGCAGAAAGAGCGATAAAACTTCTCCCCACACGAGAGTCGAACTCGTGTCTTCTGCGTACTACGCGTAACCAATACATCCCAAACGCCGGTATAAAAAGGTCTGAAAAGCAGCTTAAGTCATATAAAAATAACATTTTATTTTTCTTATAAGCACTGATTAGAACCTTCCTGGGGTTTGACAAACTCGCACATTTTAAAAAATAAATTCATCGAACTCTGAATTTCGAATTCGAAATTCCAAAATCCGATTAGACCCGCCTACTTTCAGTGGAAATTTGGACACGTTTGTTACATACATCATGCCGCGATGGGGGAGTAGAAGATTGGACTCATTCTCTGTGGCAGAATCAATACCGTTCCGTGGGACTACTAGTTCTCATTAATTGTAGACAGGCAAGAGGGATTTCCACAGTTGTTGTGACAGACCAGTGCGAGGTTTCATATGTGGCAGTTTCAAGATTTTGTTTTTGGAAATGCCAGCTTCTGGGCTCATTCTGTTAAATAAAGTGAACGTGCTATCTATCAACATGGTGACAATAGAATAGAGTACAAGAATACGGTGTGAGAAAAAAAATAAAAAGAACAACAACAACAACAACAACAACAACAACAACAAAACAACAACAACAACAACAACAACAACAATAACAAACAAACATGAACGCAGAATGTCTACGCATGACGTTATAAACACAACACGAGAGCCTTCTTGTTCCCATACGGCAACAGATTTTACTTCCTTACTTTAACACTAAGGCAATTCCAGTGTTGTTGGCTATCAACAGCGCCTTTGGTGCAAAGTTAGGCGCTTCGCCATTGCATGCAGAAGACTTGAGTTCCATTTCTGTGTAGGGAGAAGCTCGTTTTTTTCTTCTTGGACGTTGTATCCCTCTCAGCCTGTGTTGACCCTGGCAGGTATGGTTGAAACCAGCTTTCTAAATCACCTAAATTATTGTGTCAATGGCAACGTAAAAACACTGTTACTGCTAGTATAGTCCACGCATTTTGTTTGTTTGTTTGATAACTGGATCATGCAACGACTAAGGGCAGCAACTGCAGAGCTTTCTAGTTCACAAGGGCTGAGTAAGAGATTTCCCCCTTTCTTTCCAAGAACTCAGCTCCGCTACTGGTAACCATGGCAATGATCTATCAGTTCCTTTGTTCATAATAGTGGTCCCAACCTAGGCCACAGAGACGAGATGCCTTATTCTTTTCATAGGAGTATTTACTCTATAACACGATTTCAACTCCGTCGTTGGTGGTAACCGTGATGTCGACTCCCATGATGTCGGTAACCATGGAAACGACCTCGGTGACACAGCAGACAGAAGAAGCCTTTTCTACGGCGACTTCAGCCGTGGACGTGTTCCTGTGCCTTTTCGCCTCTCTCCTCTGTCTCTTTATCTGTACCGGAAACGTCCTGACGATCTTGGCCATACTCCGCACGGGGGCGCTGAGGACCTTCTCCAACGTCTACGTGGCTGGCCTGGCCGTGGCGGACTTCCTGGTGGGGGTGTCTCTCAGCCTCCTGGCGCTCTTCATGATCCCGCGTCTCCGACAGACTCTGTACTTCCAACATATCAATCTGTGCGTTTTCATGCAAGGGATCGTCATCGGAATGGTACTGCTATCAGTGGAGCACTTGTGTATGATATCCGTAGAAAGGTATCTTTATATTGTGAAACCTTATTTGTACCACCGAATCATAACTAAAAATGTTGTGGCAACGACAATGGTTGTGGCTTGGACTTTGGGAATTTTTTATTCTCTGGCGCCACAGTTTAGTTATAGACCATACGGGGAAATCCCGGTGTGTGATCCATCTGAAAACTTACCTGTAGAGTATCTCGTCTATAGCAATACTGTTATCTACTTTATCACTGTAGCTGTTATTATTGTCATGTACACCCGGATTCTAAAGGTAGCTTGCCGTCAGCGGAATGCGATACTGGCGGTTACCGTTGTGGTTAAAGCTGACAATTCAAATGTTAGTCCTTGCGTGATGGAAGATGAGTCGGCAAAATCACGCCGCGCTACTTTAAAGAGCGTCAAGTTCTTTCTCACTGTGTTTGGAGCTTACTTCCTCTGCATCACTCCGATGGTCGTGTGTATCTGTGTCGACTATTTCGTCAACGTCAGTTATATACTGTTCCGGATTTTAAACCTGATAGCGCTCACCAACTCTGGGATGAATTTTATCATCTACTCCATCCAGAACAAGAAATTTCGTCACGCGTTTCTGCGCATGCTTCCGTGTGTCAACAAGTGTCGCCGCTCAACACCATCTCCTTCTGTTGTCTCGGACTCTGATAAGTAACAAACACACTTGTGTTTTTGTTAAAAGTAAAGTATACCCCCCCCCTCCCGAAAAAAACCGACCTCACCCCCCCTCGACCATCGCATTCACATCCCACGTTTCCTGTTCCCGAGAGACGTAGCTGCTACACCACTCAGACCCCACACAGTGATCCCGTAGTGACTTTGGATGTTGCACAACAAGTCTAGTAGTTCGATTTTGTTTGTTTGTTGTTTGTTTTGTTTGTTTGTTTTTTTGGGGGGGAGAAACTTTGCTTTTACTTTTTTCTTATTCGTCATGGGAAAAAAATGGAAAATTCCAGTACATTCAGCAGCAGTGAGTTCGATTTCCGAATGGAGTTGTTATTTTATCGAGTATCTCCCTCTGCTGGAATGATTTTTCTCTCTCAGCCCTTGCTGGGTCTGACTGGCACAGTCGAAACAGCCTTCCTCCGGAATGATCTTTCTTTCTCTCGATAGAAACAAGTATGGGTTGTCCTGGGAAAAAAATGCAGAACATGAACTCTAAATTAAAACAAAATGGACATATTACATCTACGTGTGCATGTATACTATGTTACAAGGTTTTAAATGCGCGTGCGCGCGACACGTGTGTGTGTGTGTGTGTGTGTGT